TTGACAAAGTTAAAATAGGTACAAAATCTTGAAATTTTTGTAAGGAGAGTATTAGGAGAAACACTTTAGTTCCATTCAGGTCATATTAAATGAATTTCGAATTATAGTTCATGCAATAGTAGAAATGATGCTACTGTGTTGAATAAACATGGCAGTCTACTTGTCATCTCTCATAAGCTCATGATTTTCAGAAGTGCAATTACAATCTAGTCTCCTTAGACTGTGCTCATTTTAGATTGATCATATGGGTAATGCTTATAACTATTAGGACTTTAGCTATTCAGGTAATTTATGTTATCTTTTATTTCTCTAACATTTAATTTTCCTGTATTTTGTAACATTAAGCAAAAGCCAGTCTCAATGTACTTGTAATATTTTGATGCATTCTTTAACATACCTATGAAGTTTCCCAGAAGCTAACATCTATACACGTAGACCTTGCAAAAACGTGCTATGGTTATGTGTTGTTTTCCCTCCAGACAAGAAAATCAATACTTCATTTGTGATATCTTTCATAAAGACTAGAAGAATGAAAGTAGTTAAAATAATTATTGCCAGAAAATTAAGTTATATTTTTAGAATTAATAAAGAGGCAGCATGATTGTGGCCATATGTTTAAATGATGATAATAAGTAGCCTGAGTTTGGAGGCAAGAGCATACCACTCCACTTGATTGAAAGAATGTTGTTGACTTTTCTCATATTCTTTGATGGACCTGTAAACCTTTTTTTATGTTAGAAAGTGTAAATTGCCCACATTTGATGACAGTGCTATCTATTGAATTTCTATATAGGCAGGGCTTAGAGATTTGATTTGAAGTTTCATTTTCATAGCAGACAAATTCATTGCTTATATTTTGTGTTTTGAGGTGGCTTATTTGGGAGGAAAGGAGCTTTGGTGGCCCAGTAGTTCAGGCATTTGGCTGCTGACTAAAAGGTCAGCTGTTCAAACCCACCAACCGCTCTGCTAAAGAAGGATAAGAAAGTCTGCTTCCATAAAGTTCTTCGGCCTTGGAAATCCTATGGGCATCACTTTGAGTCAGCATCAACTCAATGGCATTAAGTGTGGTTTGATTTTGTATTTGGGAGGAGGTCGGATGGAAGTTATAGAGGGCTAAAGCCACTTCTTGCTACTGTTACTTCTCCTGGTTTTGGGTAACTATAACTGTTTTTAACTACAGAGTTACCTTTGGAAGAAAGCAAAAGTGAATATTTTCTAAGACAGTGAATATTATTTAAAAAAAAAAATGTGAGGGCAACAAACCTAAGTTACAATACCATATCTTTGAAGTTCTTTAATTATGGGTATGCAAATGGGTGCTACTGTTGGATAACTTGCATGTAATTCATACCAGTTCTTCAAAAACCATCTCAACTGCAATTTTTATGTGGCAATTTGTTTAGCAGTTGCTGTTAACTTACATATTTTAAAGCAATCTCACTGGATTTGAGAAATGTCTGAATTTTAGCATATTTTACGATAATTACATGTATACTTTTTTCTCAATTTGTCCAAATTAGTGAGATTTTACTATATGTTTAATTCTGTTGCTGCTTTAGGTACCTGGAAAAAGAGTAATTAATGTTGCACATTAGTAAAAAGCAGCAATTGATTTTTGGTTCTATTTGGCTTATCTGTTCTGCTTAAGTGCTTATATTTGATTTGTAGGAAAACCTCTAAACAGGTCTATATTTTTATGTTTATTCTCTTCCTTGAACTAATGAAATAAACACATTTATTGATTTCAGAAAGAGTTTTGTTAATGTTGTTAATATGCCTTACTAATGTTACTCTGTGTACTTGGATTTGTACCATTATTGTTTATAAATCAACATTTTTCTTTCAGTTCAAAAGAATGTAGAAGTTTCAGAAGAAAAGAAGATCATGCCTACAAAAAAGAAAGTGAAAGAATTGAGAGTTTTAGACCCCAAAACAGCACAGAATCTGTGTATGTATTTTTATTTTTATTTATTTATTTATTTATTTTTGCATAGAGTGTGATGGTGATGAGAGGTTGTTGAATGCATTTAAATAAAGTTGTAACTTTTTGGACCAGGGATATTTAGCATTGGCTAGAAATGTAAGTTTGTGTAATAATCTGAGTTGCCTTTTTCTCATTCAGCCAGTATGGAGAATAATTATAATTCAGTGTTGGTCAGGCCAGATGAAGCTCATGAATAATAAAATGTTGGAAAGTACAGATAAGAAACAATTGTTACAGGACATAATGACAGAAGGCCTAGTTGAAAAACTTTTTTTCCCTTTTGCCTGTCCCTAGAATTGATATTTTTAGATTATTCACTAGTCACATTGGGCAAAACATTTTACTAGTAGTCCTTTATATTTGAAGCAATTTTGATGGAGCTACTTAAATTGTTAACTAACCCAAAAAAAAAAAAAAAAACCAAACGCACTGCTGTTGAGTTGGATCTACCTCATAGCAACCCCTCCTTGGGTTTCCAACGCGGGATCACTACACAAATAGACTGCTTAACCTTCCTTCTGAGGAGTGGCTGGTGGGTTTGAACCGCCAGCCTTCTGGTTAGTAGTCAGATGCCTTAGGTACTACATCACCAGAGCTAATCTACTTTAAAACTGGATAGTGATCCTTGAAGTGATCCAGTTAGCCAGTCAGTATGTTTTTGGTAAAGCTTCTGGATAGTTAAACCTATCTTCATTTAAGCACACCTGAAGTTTTACTTTGACATTGTCTCCCTTCTGTGTTGAAATCAGAAGAATTTTTTTTTTAGTCATCACAGTCAACTGTGTTCAGATTCTGAGAATACTTAAACAATGTATGTAAGAAAGAAATTTCAGCATATCAAGCATTTGTAATTTCACAAAGAAATGCCATGGAAGTATATTTTGTTAAGGAATATACTGTAGAGAATCACATTAAAATATACAACACATCATTACTGTGTCAATAGGAATGTTGCTGTCAGGAAAAGAGTTTACTAATAGCTATTGTGAATGTATACATCATTTATTGGGTAATCCATTTTTTTTATAAACCTGATGTTCAGCACTTTTTTCAAACCACACAAAAAATGAAATCTTAAGTGCTAGATGGTATCTGTCAAATTTATGTATTTAGAATATGGGAATCTCATTTGATCTTTAAGTCTAGGTATTCATTTACCTAAGTAATGAGGATTTTTTTTTAATGTAGGCCTTTTCATGGGACAATAAAATTCATACAAATATATTCATATTCTGGTGATAAGATCACATGTATGTTATTTAAAGGTTATGTTTAATGAAAATGAAAGTGAAATATGTTCTTGAAAAATACCTTCTGAATAATCATGAGCTTTTCCAGGTATAATTTGTTGAATTATTCTAACATGACATATTACACATCCAATTAAGAGAAATTTGACAGGGGAAATCGTGATTCAACATATAAAACAACATGAATTTTAACACAGATACAGATAGCTTTGATGATGCAGACACTTTAACTTTTTCTTATGTGGGAAAGTAGCAAATTAGATTGATATAATATTTTTATGTGGTTACTTTATTGTTATTCCTGAGAAGTATTGTGTTGGATGCAACTGCCAATCTCCACACTAAATTCTACATTGAATTAAAAGGCCAATTTGAAATAAGATCTCTAAGTTTTCATGAGTTATTTTGTATCAGCTCAATATGAAATGCATGAGCATATATTTATGAGTGCTATTAGTAGGAGTTTTATTTTGTATAGTAATATGCATGAGCTGTAAACATTAGAGCTAATAGACCATTTTTCCTAGATGGGTAGCATAGTCCATCAAATTGAAAGTTTTGTTTGTCCATAACTCTGAAAGTTAAGATTAGTGACAGAAATTTCATATTTGAAGTCTATGAAAATGAGAATGAGGTTTATATTAAGACTTTAAAATTTTGATTATCTTCTACTTTTTAATTTTAGCTATATTCCTGGGATCATATCGCATGCCATATGAAGATATAAAAAACATTATTCTGGAGGTTAATGAAGGCATGCTGAGTGAGGCCTTAATTCAGGTAACTTAGTTATTTTCCTTGTTAAATTTATATTTAGCAGGTATTTCTAGATTGCTATTTTCTCAGTGGAGCTGTGAATAAATGTTCTTCCAAATATGGTTAATAGAATTCATAGTATGTTGTGTTGATAAGGAGCTCTGGTAGCACAGTGGTTAAGGCATTTAACGGCTAACCAAAAGGTCAGTGGTTAAAACCCACCAGCCACTCCTCAGAAGGAAAATGGAGCCAGTCTGCTTCTGCACATAATTACAGCTTTGGAAACCAAATAGGGATTGCAATGAGTAGGAATTGACTCAATGGCTGTGATTTGTTATTTTGCTCTGGTGGCATAGTGCCTAAGGCATTTGACTGCTAACCAGAAAGCTGGTCGTTCAAACCCCCCAGCCACTCCGCAGAAGGAAGTTTGGGCAATCTGCTTCTGTTGAGATACCGCCTGAGAAACCCAAGGAGGGGTCACTATGAATTGAATTGACTCGATGGCAGTGGGGTTTTTGTGGCATTTTTGGTGTTGATCTATGTCGACTCAACATAGAAGATCTAGGTTCTAGTTCAATTTCTGCCATTTATTAGATATATCCTTTTACATTTAAGCATATTTATGTAGCTATATCATTCTCTGCTATCACAATGGGATACATTAAGTAGTTATTATTACCAACATTTTATGGATGAAACTGAGAGGTCAGGAGGTTAAATACTTTGCTCAAGGTAAAAGAGTAGCTATCCTATTTTACTTAGCATATGCTGCAGATTGTGTTAAGCACTCCATGTATTTTATCTCATTTAATCCTACAACAATCCTATAAAATAAGAATCATTATCTTCATTATATAGATAAGTAAACTGAGGCTTTGCAAACTTGCCTAATGTCACATAGCTGGTAAGTAGCACAGTAGTAGATCTGAGATTCAAAATAAGGTCTGTTCTATGATTATAGTCTGCATCTCATGGACAAACTACTTAAGGTGTTTTTTTTTTTTTTATCTGTAATTTTCCCTTCCAAAAAAAATTCATTTATTAATTTAATTGTGATTTGGGTGAAAGTTTACAGAACAAATTGGTTTTCGCATCAATAATTCATGCACGTTTTGTTTTTTGACATTCATCATTATCCACATAGTATGGTAAGACTCACTTCCTCCTTGTGTTAACCATATCCCTTCATCCTTCTTAACTATCCCTTCCTGCCGGTTTTTGCTTTATCCCTGGACAAAGGCTGCCCTTTGATCTCATGTGGTTGATTGTCCTGATGAGTGTGAGTCCCTGGTGTTATTGTTTACCTCATAGACCTCTCTATCATTTGACAGAAAGTTAAGCCATGGCGATTGAGTTCAGTTTTAGATTTGAAGGGCCTAAGGGCCATAGTGTTGTGGGTTCCACCAGTCCCTATCAGACCAGTAAGCCAGGTCACTTTTATGATTTTTTTTTTTTTTCATATTTTTCTCACCCTTTATCCAGGAACTCTAATTGTGATCCCTTTCAGAGCAGTCAGCAGAGGGTCATGGATGGTAGAGTTCAAGTGATCCATTAGTCCTTTGGACTAGTTGTTTCCTTGTGTCTTTGATTTTTGTTTTGGTTCTCTCATGCTGCTCTAACAGAAATACCACAAGTGTATGGTCTTACCAAACAGGAGTTTATCGTCTTACAGTTTTGGAGGCCAAAAGTCCTAGTTCATAGTGCCAGACTCTAGGGGCGCGAGGAAAGCCCCTCAACCCTGGGCTTGAGCTCTGCCTCTTGCTCCTGGCCCACTGAAACTGGAGAACCTCTTCTGTTAGGCAGCTGCTGGCTGCTGTGGCTGACAAAACCAAGTCGACAAGTGAAGAGGCACAGTCCCAGGATTACCAAACCACAGCAAGACACTGATTCAAGGCCACAAACAGTCCCAAGATCAGCAGACAACACGACAGACTGCTGAACAATGACTCAACTACATGCAGGATTCAAGAGTGCCAGAAACTAGAGACCTTCCTTAAAGCTGCTTCTTACACACTGGGAGAAGACCACATCCCTAAAGCAGTTACTCAGCTGCTCCTGTAGGTTACACCATGAAGTTGATTATCGATCTCTCCTTGGGGAATAACTGCATCTAGCTGTCTAGCCACTCAAAACCAGGCCCAGCCAAGTTGATACATAACCTGAACTATGATAATTTTCTTCACTCCTCTTTCCTTTGGATGGAGAGAGACCAATAGCTGCGCCTTAAATGTCTGCTCACACACTTTTAGGACCCCAGTCCGTACTCACCAAAGCAGGGTGTAGAACATTGTCTTTGTGGATCATGTTTTGCCAATTGATATTAGTATCCTCTGAGACCATGGTCCTAAGCCCCCATGCCCAATGACTTATTCTCTGAAGGTGTTTGGTTATAACTAAGAACTTTTCATGATTTTTCCCCATGTATGCTCTATTATATTCATGGACATATTTGCATCACATATAAATACATATGTAGAAATATCCTCTCTGAAATATACATACATACATGTGTGTGTGTGTACACACACACACACACACACACATATTTGTGGATATAGTCCCATTGGATTTTCCACCTCTATTAAGCTTGGGTGTCTCTATGTATTCACTTGTAGATTCTTGTTATTACTATTAAAGCAGGATTATGTATATAAAAGTATTTACCTTTGTTGCCTTTATCTCTATGCTCCTCCCAGTGTCTTCATCTGGCTTTATCATTTTCTGCTGACCTCCCTCTTGTTCTATATTACCTTTCTCTTCACCCAAGTTAGTACATTTCTACCCTGTAGTTAGTGATTTCCCTTCCCTCCCCACTTTTGTTAACCTTCAAAGAAGGATTCTTTCTGTGTGTAAACCTTACATTGACTTTTTACATTAGGGCACTCATACATTATTTGTCATTTTTTTGTTTTACTAATTTCACTCAGCATAATTTTACTAGTTTCATTCATATTATGAGATGTTTTACAGATTCATCATTCTTTTTTAACAAAAAATTATATTGTGATTTGGGTAAAAGTTTACAGAGCAAATTTCCTTTCCATACAGCACCTTACATGCACTTTGTCTCATGACATTGACTACAATTTCCTACAATGCAACAGCTCCCCTCCCACTTCCTCCCCATAGTTGTTCTTGCCTGTGTCCTTCCCTCCCATGCACTCTTGCGGCCCAAGCTGTCTCCCTGTATATACACAGTCCTTCTGTTCTCCCATGATTGATTTCTTCAAGGAGTGTATCTACCTAATGTAAATATTCAGCTCATATGCCTGTCTTTTGTTTGGGTGGAAGCCAGAGGAGTGGGTTCATTTCCAGACCCGAAGGGCAACTGGGGGCCACAGTCTCAGGGATTCCACCAGGCTCTATCTGACCAGCAGACCTGGTCCTTTTTTTTTTTCCCCCCAATGATTTTCAGTTTTGTTCCACATTGTTCTCCCACTCTATCCAGAAACTCCTACATAGATCCCCCTCCAAGTGGTGGACAGTGGTAGCCAGGCACCATCTAGTTTTTCTGGTCTCTTGGTCATATAGACTGAGGATCACATGGTGTACCAGTCTCTTGGACTATTTGTTTCCACTCACCTTTGGTTTTCTTCATTCTTTTTGCCTCTGGATGAGGAGAGACCCATTGTTGCAATTACATGGCTACTTCCAAGCTTTCAAGATCCCAGTCGCTACTCACCAAAGTAGGATGTCGAACAATGTTTTTGTGTAGTATGTTATGCCAACTGAGCTTGGTGGGCCCTGTGACTATGGTCCCAAGCCCACAGGTCCAACTACTCACACCCTCTGGTTAGCTGGCTGTGCCCAAGAAGTGAATACAAACTTGCCCCTTCTCAGCTCTACTATATACCTGGGAATTCTTACTGAACATACAAATACACTTGTAGAAACATTGTCTGCCAGTCCTGTACATGGTCTTGAGCACACTCCCCCCTGCATAGACATACCTAATAGTTCAGCTAGTCTCTGCACCTATCCACCCACATATCAGTGTTTGCCTCCACTGACAACGCAGTACTGTATATCCAAAAGGGTTCATCTTTGTTGTCTGTAGCTTCTGTGCACCTCTCTATGTCTTCCTCTTCCTCATTGCCAATGTATTGATCACTCACTTTTGGTACATTGTCCTTCACTTCACCCAAATCAATACTTGTCTCTACCTATCTAGCAGTGTTCTCTCCGCTCCTCTCCCACCCTTGGTAACAAATGAAAATTTCCTTCCATGTATAAACCTTTCCTTGACTTTTTACAATAACAGACTAATAAATATTTGTCCTTCTTTGACTGACTTATTTCACTCAGCATAATGTCCTCCAATTTCATCCATGTTATGTGGTGTTTTGCTGATTCTACGTTATTCTTTCAGGTTACATAGTATTCCATTGTGTGTATGTACCATAGTTTGGTTATCCATTCTTCTGTTGATGGGCACCTAGGTTGTTTCCAACTTTGTCTGTTGCATATAGTGCTGCTATGAATGTGGGTGTGTGTTTATCTGTTCTTGTTCTGATTTACAATTCTTTAGTTTATATACCTAGTAATGGAATGGCTAGATCAAATTGT